CCAGAGCAAGGAAAGTCATCGGGGATCACGTGAAAAATGTGCCCCAATTCTCCCTGCCCAATTTGGAAATATATAACAACTTTACCAAGTGTCGAAACCTTTTGGTCAGCAATTCCCCGCAGAATATTGGTATCCTCCATTAACGGAAATTGTTTCCGGATTTTCCCGATTTTTATCAGTGAAACAGCCGCTCCTGAGTCTACCAGGAAAGCTGTCCGCTTTTTTAGTTTTTCGGCCTGCAAGAAAATATGACTTTTTTATTTATTATATTGCACTGGTCTTATTACTCGTCTCGTATACTGCGTGTGCTCTATATTCTCCATGATTCCATGAGAATCACGTTCAATTCCGTACGTCATCACCTGATGTAACTCTCTGGAATTTCGATATACTGGTCTGAATCGTTTCGATGTCTTGGTTTTATTTTTGATATTGTTTTTACTCAACATTTCGGCCTCGGTGCCATCCAGAATAGCCTTAATTCCTGCTGAGTCAGCAATTCCAAGTCGTTTCTTCAGTTTGCGACAAACGTATGCGTTATGACCTTCATATTTGCAGTATCTGCACTTCTCTTGATTACGATTTTCGACATTATGTTTCGAATTCAATCGAATTACCTCGTTGTTCCCATTTCCCAAAGAGAGTCCACACTCTGGAGCTGTGTGTCCCTCTTCTCTGCAGTTGGAACTAATGTTCAATTTCAGTTGATCTTGCTGTTGGTCCCTCTGCGTTGTTCTCGCCCTATTTCCTAGGTGCATCTTTTCCTTTCAAATTTGGAAGGTTGACTCCTGCTGCCGCGTTGTCCTCATTTCTCGCCTGCGTTATTGAGCCGTTGTTGTCTAAGATTCTTCCGTCTGATGACACGTATTGCCCCGTGTCCTACTTCGGATTTCTCGCTGAACTCATCAACATTGTCTTCTCGAGTTCTAATGCTGTTTCCCAACACTTGTGAAATGTCTGAAATTTCACTAATTTCACCAAGCGCTGAATCGGTTGTATCAACCCCAATTCTAAACGAATTTTGGCCAATTCCATTGCTAACCTCTCGACACGAACCCCAAATGTACTAACGCTTTCATCTACGCCCTGTCGAAAGCTGCAAAATTCCAGATGTAATTCTTTCAAAGTTCTCCCTCTGGATCCTCCCTCTTTTGTACTCCTGTACTTACAATTAGAGTCCGCCAGAGTTATATTATTTTTGCTGCTTGGTACTAAGGGGGTCGTACCTTCCATAGCCTCTGCAAAATCTGGACTTTCGTGGTCAGCTGGCCCGATGTCAGCCGTCGCAACCTCCATGGCCGCATTAGATACACCGACTGCTGACAACGAACCTGGTACGTCTACCAGTGCTGGTGCTCCGACCAGTTGCTCTGTTATGCCTGGCACGCCGGCCAGGGCTTCATCAATAACTGACACACTTGCTAGTGTCTTTGAGCCCATCTCAATAAACTTTATCTCTCCATGAGATACGCTGTGAACTCCTTTGGAAACTGACATATCCTCCAGAGCCTCATCGAGTATACCCACAGTACTGCCCAGTACCTGAGAGACCGTAGGCTGTAGTGGAAATCTTCAGGAATAATTTCCACTCTGACGACAAAAATTCATGGCTGCAACAAATCCTCCCCGAATATGCCTGTATGAAGCCATAACTATTTTTGCAGCAAATCACAAAAATATTCTTCAATGCGGCTGAATACTTATTTAGTACTCATCAGCTGCTCCGGTTTCCCTCCCCCTTTAAGCGAACCAAGTCTGACCGTTGAAATTGAGGACAAAGTCAGACCTCGTACTATTCAGTTGAATAGGTTTTCTGGATCCAAAACGTCGCTCAGTATGATTGAAATCCTCTTCTGCTGGTCTATCCTAGGATAGAATTTTCGCTCCCTCGTTGGAAAAAAAATGATCCTCTAAGGAAAGCAGTGAACCTCTAATTCTCCAAAGTTCACCGAATTATTCTGGTACCCTACTGTAGTCGTTGGCAAGAGTTGATCAGGCCCTGCCTTCGAAGACGCACCGCTGCCAGCAAAAATGTTAGGGATGAATCCCTGGGTTCTGCTATTTGGAGATAAATCTCCCTACAGTGGGTAGATACTGGAATCCGGTATATTACTTGGTAGAAATATAGGTATTCATTAATTGAAACTAACTCGTAATTATCCTGAATGGGTAAATATGAGGATTTTACAAAGATGATACAAAACGAGTATTAAGCTCAAATTAACATGACGACTGAACTCCCGAATCCTCTTGAGTTCAGTTTATATAATAATGAAGCGGGTCATGTTATGACACTGGTCAGCAGTATTGCACATGAACGATGAATTAGTAAATCAATGAGTGAAGCAAGTTGAACTCAATTCATTGTTCAACGTCTTCACTTTTGTAAATAAATTATTACTTAATTTATTGACCCTATTCTGGGGTATAACAAAGTAGTTATGATATTTTAGGGCTTCTAGACACTTCAAAATGAGATGTTAAATTTTTTCAAATTTTTTTGAGGCTTTGCTGCAACGTAATTGAAAAAATTGGAAAAAGTACGGCGCGGCGCTCATAGCGCGACCAACGGAGTGTTAACACCGTTGACACCGTTGTTAATGATGTTCTGTCCCCTTTCAGCTAATTTTCACGTTTTTTGTAGATTTCTGGCAAACTATCCATCGGATTAACCAGGAAAACTATACCATTTTTACGTTTCATCATTATTCAATAACTCACGAATTTCCTCACTTTGCAACCATTTTTCTATCGTTTTATTTTATTACATTTTGGGACATTTCATGAATGAATGAATGGTTTATTTCCTACTGTATAGTATTACACCTTTTACAGATAAAGTACAGATTTTTTTGTACATACGTGCATAATGTCAATTTCAAAAAATTATCACACACTGAATGCGATGCCGTGACCGACCGAGCCCCCACCATTTTTCTATGTTTTTTTCTAAACTTTTCGAAAGATTTGCGAAAGTTTAGAATAAAATGTAGTAAAATGGTTGCACAGTGATGAAACTTCGTGAAGCATTAAATAACAATAAACCGTATAAGCAGTATATTCTTTCCAACAATCCGATTGATAGTTTGCCAGAAACCCACAAAAACTTAAAAATTGGTTGAAGGGGGCAGAACATCCTTAACGCCAGTCTGGTCATGTAATGCGACCCTGCGGCTTGGTCACCTTCGCGAGGATTCGCCGCCGTGTTATTTAGGCTTGTCTCCAGCGTTGTTGAATTCAGTCTACACTGCTCGAGCGCATTTAGTGAGTTTCCGGCAACGCCGCGTAATCCGAGTAGAAATTTCGATCAGGTCCAGATCAGGATTTGATCAAGTCAGCCCTGACGTAGGATCAGACTATGATGATGTGAATTGATCAGGTCCTGATCAAATGTGTAACGCCGTTTTAGATTCAAATTGGATTAGGCTTGGCGGACCCAAACCTGATCAAGCCCCATGGATCCGGATCGGAGGAACGCGTCCAGTTTCTTTACTAATATTCATTAACAAAAATTGATGACTAAATTTTCAGAAAAATTTTTTACGATCATTTGTGACCTTATTGTTCACCCCGCAATGCACTGATCGCAGAAAAAGCCGATTTTGTTATCGCGAATTATTCTGCCCACGACTGGCTTCGAACGCGGGATCCTATGATTACTAAACTTACGCCCTAACCACTAGACTACCGCGCTAATCTTACATTGTCAATCTCGTATTCTCAATATGACATTAGTTTCCACGTGTCTCCGAATATTATTCCTCCATTATTGCTGACAATAAACATTTTCTACATAGACTTCTGATAATAGGGGTGAATTTATCCAGCATCTCCCTCCCCCTTTCCGTTCCACTATCGGTTTCCCCCTCCGCGCATCTTTCCCTTTACATTTGACCCTTATGATTTACGATGCTTAAGACTTTTGAGCCGTGAGACCCTTATAATGATCTGACCCTTATGAAGTCTGATATTTAAGACATTTGACCATTGGTACGTCCAACCTTTAAAACATTTGATCTTTGACCCTTATATTGCCTGACCTTTCAAACAAGATATTTGAGCCATAAAATGTTAGACACTTGAGACGCTTGACCCTTTAAATGTTTGCCTCTCATGAAATTCGACCCTTGATACGTCTGACCCTTGAGACATTTGATTCATAAGACTTCGGGTCCTTTAAACATCTGACTCTTGTAAACCTTAAGACACCTGATCCTTGCTACGTTTGACCCTCAAGACGTCTGACCCTTGAAGTGACTGAGGCCATGCTCAGATTGAAATCAGGCTGATCAAATCTCCATCTGATATTGTTTATGATCAGATTCATCGCAGGGTACTCTGGTCAAATTGAAATCAGGGTGACCTGATCCGAATCTGATCGAAGTGATTTCAGACTGCCTGACCTCGGAAACACTGGATCAGTTTTTTACCAGGTTTTGATCACATTTCACCTAATCAGTCGAACCTGACTACAGACGGATCCATTTCGGATCCGACTTGAGGTGGCCTGAGCGGAATTTCCACTCCGGAAGAGGCAATTTCATTTAATCCGTTAGCACTCGCACCATTCCACCGAGAACCTTTACTCCTGCCGAGATTCTCCGATGTATTGCGCGCATACTAGCTAGTCAGAGAAGTCCGAGCTATCCGTGGGACTGGGTTAGTTGCTAAGTATACACGGTGTCCCATAACTGCGCACTCTAATTTTGAGGGTGGAAAGAGGGTGAAATTTGGGGTCGAAAGTCCACTTTGCTGTGCGACGCACTCCTGCCGAGTTTTTCAACTTTGAAGTTGACCAATCACAGCGTTGCTCCGCCCACTGAACTAATGGTTCTCAACTCAATCATTTTTTAATGAGAAAAATGGTGATTATGAAATTTTCTCTTAGGGTGAAGATTAGGGGCAGAGTCAGGAGTCCAAGAATCGCCAGGGGGTGGGGTTATGAATTCAGCTCAAGGCGGAGGGCTCAGTGAAAACAGATGTTTAGGTGGAGGTCCAGGTTAAGTTGAAGTGCTAGGAATTCTTCCAGGTGAGGGGAAAATTCCCGGAGCTGTTCCAGCTTCGGGTCCAGGACTGCGAACTGTCCCAGGGAGAGGTCTAGGTTCAGGAACTGTTCCAGGTAGAGGTCCGAGTTCCAGAATTGTTCCGGATGGAGGTGCAGGTTTGGAAACTGTTTCAAGTGGAGGCCCAGGTTCGAGAACTGTTCTGGGTGCACCTCCAGGTCCGGGAACGGTTCCGGGTAAACCTCCAGGTCTGGACATTGTTCCAGGTGGACGTCCATGTCTAGGAACTGTTCCAGGTGGAGGTGCTGGTTCGAGAACTGTTCCGGGTACACTTCCAGGTCCGGAAACGGTTCCGGGTGAACGTCTAGATCCGGGAACGGTTCCGGGTGAACGTCCAGGTCTGGACATTGTTCACGGTGGTGGTGTAGGTTCAGGAACTGTTCCAGGTAGACGTTCATATCTAGGAACTCTTCCAGGTGGAGATGCAGGTTTGAGAACAGTTCCGGATACACCTCCAGGTAGGGGAACGGTTTTGGGTGAACGTTTAGGGGGCGTATTCTCGAAGGTCTCGGAAATATTTCCGAGCTCGGAAGTGGCTCCGAAGATGGAATGGCTGTGGGGCCGAAACTGTTCCGTAAGCCTATCGGTGATACGAGTTCGAATCTGTTCCGATCACGGATGCCAGATGCGATCCGCATACGCGAAACCGATGCACACCGCTTCCTGTCCGCATTGTTTCTCGTTATAAACAAAAATTGAATTACAAATTTATTTTTTATTATGAAAATGCCTCCGAAAGTGGTGAAAAGTGATAAAAAAAATTAGGGGGATGAAAAAAAACCTGCAGCAAATGTAACTGATGCACAAAAGCAGATGCTAATGGAATTTGTCAAAAATAAGCCTGAGATGATGATCCCTAAGTTTGATAATGAAGTAACAAAGAATAAAGTAGAGAAAAAATGGGAGGAGCTGGTACACTATTTAAATATTGTGCCAAACGGAGCTCAGAGAACCAAGCAACAATGGAAAAGATGATGTACATTTTTTAGAGGTTATATCCCCAAACACTAATCCTATCGCACAATCTCATTCCTAACCACATTATTTACTTTTTTTTTAATTAAACAGGACATGGGGTGAACAGAAGGGTAAAGGAGAGAGTAAATTAGTTGTAAATACGAAGAGCTTGAGGAAAACAGGAGGTGGTCCATTGGATCTTGTTCATATCGATCCTGAAGAGGAAGCATTGGCTAACATGCTCTTTCCCTCGACAGCAATTACTGGAGATAGTCAAGTGGAAGAGTCGTTTGTTAAGTTTGTAAGTAGTTTCCAAATTCCATATTTATGACAAGACAATAGCTAATGCAGTAGTGAAATGGTAAATCGAGATAAGTATACGTAACTTGGAGGTCGTTTTTCTTGAGAATATCTCGTTATTGGAAAGAGCAAAATTTTTATATAGATCTTGTTTGGTGAGAAACTAGGTTTAGGGTGGATGTGGGAGAAAATGTGCAGGGAAATGCTGGGAAATTAACGTTGAGACGAATTATTAAAATTCCCGTTTATTCGTGGGATCGAACCACGTCGTTAATTAATTATTTACACTCTTCGGTATAATTGTCACTGCTGATAGTCTTATTTCACTGATAATTGTCTCTGAATTTAATACTGTTGAATCACTGAATTTAGTTGAAGTTTAACTAATTATTGTGGTAATGTACTGAACGAAACGTTGATCTTACAAAGACTGGTGATGTACTTGGCTACTAATGAGCTAGGTGAGGTTCAAAAAGCTACTGTACTCGGTGAGGTGCAATGTAAGACTTAATGTGGAGGTTTTCACGACCATCTGACCGCCCAACCGAAGGTTCCCGATGATCCTCGAGTTGAATGTTCTGGAATTTTAGTCGCGTTTCTAACAGATCTTTTTTGTAGAGCAAAATTAGAGCTACAAAAAATGTTTTTATAAAAATATCGATATCTCTCTCAGATTCCGAGATATCTCCCAATAACTGATCTATTGTAAAGTGAAATTGACTTATCCTGTTTTACTATTTCGCTTCAGGATGAGTTTTTGTTAAATATCTTGGAATTGAAGGGAGATAGGAAAATTCTCATAAGGACCTATTTTGTAGAACAAAATGAGATCTACAAAAAAGATCCTTATATATCTATTTTGCCTGTTAATAACACATGCACACAGGATAGGAAATGGAAGGCACAAACAAATAATTCACACAACTCACTGTCTACATCAGATTGTCCCTGCCTTCATCCCTTCCCTATAATCCTACATTATACCGACTGATCAAGCTTCAATATTCCCAACACTTCCCCTCACTGGTGATCTGTTGGGCTTTCCTTGGCATCGAGTCCAATCAGAGCTGCCAGTGTTTTTGTTCTTTGTGGTCCAAGCGGTTTTGTGAGAATGTCTGCTGCCTTTCTCTCCGTTGGACAGTACTCTAGTTTAATAATGTTTTTCTTCACTAATTCTTTTGTGCTGAGAAATCTTGAATCAATGTGTTTCGTCAGAGCACTCATTCCTTCAGAGTGAATGTTGTTGGTACGGCTTTGGTTGTCCTCATAAATTATCGTGTGTCCGTGTTGAGTCTCATCAAGAAATTCCAGAACGCTACGAATTGCTTTGCATTATTTTGTTGTTTCCGATAGGGCGATGATTTCCGCTTCCGTTGATGAAGTTGCTACACACGTCTGTTTCTTACAGGTCCAGCTGATAGTACTTGCATACAGTTTGAAGACGTATCCCGAGTTAGATATCCTTGTCTCTCTGTCTTCGGCCCAATTAGCATCTGCGTATTCACTTAATTCTTGATTTTTGTTCAGTCGGTCGCTAAGTTTCAATTCATACTCTATTGTTCCTTTCAAATATCTACAAATTCTCTGTGCTTCTATCCAGTCAATCTGTTTGGTATCTGTTATGTGTTGCGCTAGGAGTGCTACTGGTGCATAAATATTAGGTCTCGTATTTACTGACACGTATAGAAGAGCGCCGATTAATCTTCTATAGTGTTCATTTTTTATTTCCGGTGAGTTTATTCGGTGTTTTTCATAGCCAGAGTCCTTGGGGTAAGTTGATGATTTGGCATCATTGAGTTTAGTCTTTGTGAGTATCTTGCTGATATAGTTAGATTGATTCATTGAAAAATCTCCTTGTGGGTTTCTTTTTATTTCCATCCCCAAGTAACATTTAATATCTCCTAGGTCGGTGATATCGAAAAACTTATTCAAGTCATTTTTGATGCTCTCGAGTCTCTGTAATGGTGCATTGGGGAGTATAATATCGTCTACGTGGACCACAACATAGGTGAGTGTTTCAACTCCATGCTTGTAGAGACAAGCATCATCTTCGCTTTGTGTGAATTCGAAATGGATCAGAACGTCATGCAAGGTCTTGCTCCGCGTTCCAGCAGCCTGTTTGAGGCCATAAATGGATTTATTGAGTCTATAAGCCCAATCTGAATATTGTTCATCGATGTAGCCAGGTGTTTGCTTCATATAAATGACTTCATTTAATTTCCCATTGAGGAACGCCATTTTTACGTCTAGGTGTCTTATGTCGTAGCCTCGTTGTCCTGCGATCGATAGGAGAGTCCTGATGCTGGTTGCCTTCACCACTGGTGCGAACACCTCATCGTAGTCTACACCGTATTTTTGCGACAACCCTTGTGCGACTAGTCGGACTTTGAAACGGTTGGGTCGTCCATCTGGAGTTTTCTTCGTTTCAAATTCCCATTTACATCCAATAGCTTCTTTTCCTCTGGGGATGGGCTCCAGATTCCACGTTTCATGTTCATCTAGTGACTTAATTTCCTCGTTGGTGACCTTTTTCTATTCTTTCGAGTGGGGGCCGTTGATGGCTTCTTCGAAGGTCTTTGGGTCAGCTCCGTCACTCAGATATTCATCATCATAAATGAATTGGTGAACTTTTTCCATTCGCTGGATGAGCGGAATGTTCTCTGCATCATCGTAGTTAGATTGTGGGCTGTTGAGTTGATCTTCCCCTGAATTGAGTGTTCCAGCTTCCCCTGAATCAAGTATTTCGGCTGGAGTGACTTTTGTTTTTACCTTTTTAGGTGTTTCTTCAATGTTCTCGGGAGGAACGTAGACAATACTATTTTCTGTGTTTTTTGGTGCGTCTGGAACTTTTGTATGAGGTTTCAGAGGATGATCAGACGGGTGGTGTACTTCCTCTTCAGAGCGAGACTCCTCCATAAATACAACATCTCTGCTCGCGATGATTCTGCCCGATGATCTTTCCAGTAGCCTGTATCCTTTTGATCCCTCTGGGTAACCGAGTAAAATGCAGTCGTATGCTTTTTCTTCCAGTTTCGTCCTCTTTTGCTTCGGAATGTGGGCAAAGGCTCGACATCCGAATGCTCTGAGGTGCTGCATGTTCGGCTTTTTGTCAAACCATAATTCGTAGGGCGTTGCTGACTTCTTTCCCGTAGGAAGTCGGTTTTGCAGGTATGTCGCTGTCAAAACTGCTTCCACCCAGTATTGATCTGGTAATTGTGCGTCTATCAACATTGTTCTTACAGCCTCCATCAGGTACCTATTTTTCCTCTTAGCAACACCATTTTGCTCTGGGGTGTACGGCATTTTGTGCTGAAATTGGATGCCATGAGGCTTGAGGTGGTTTCGCAGTTCGTGTTCAAGAAACTCCCCTCCTCGATCTGATCTGAACATTTTGGGCTTCTGTCCATGTTATGACAGAAGTTTATGAGTTATGACATGTTTATGAGTTATGCTGAGTTGGATAAATTCTTTTATTATTAATTCTGTTTGAGATTTATATGTTAACAGGAATGATTGAGTGTCCTCCTACTGTCGCGGTTGGTATGGGGCCGCATAGGTCTGTGTGGATGAGTTCTAGTGGCATGGTCGTTGTTGAATTTGACTCTTTAGGGAATGGCTTCCTAGAAAGCTTCCCCTTGACACAGCATTCGCAGATTTGTTTGATTGGACAGTCCTGGATTTTTATATTTTCAGCCAGATTGTGATTAGCTAGGTGTCTTATTGCCTTGGAGTCGCGGTGGGTAAATCTTGCATGTCAGTGATGGATGCAGTTGGGGGGGTGTTGAGGCATCACTGAAAGTTTTGTTTTGTTTTCTATTCCATTTTAAATATTTGGTACACTGGTGCTTCAGATGGTCAGTACCTCGACAAAAGAAACACTCCAGAGGCTCCTCTTTAAATTTGTTTACTTTCATAGCAATATCGATCAGTTCACTCGGTGCTAGTTTCCTTCGGCGTTTAAATTCACTAAGTAATGTTGACTTTACGACCTCTAGAGTCATGTCCTTCTCAGGTATCGTAGCCAAAATTGAAATTAACGGCCCGTACGAAGCTGGTACACTACGTAATACAATCCAAGGTCCAAACTCCTC